ATTCTTCTTTTTCTTCTCTTACAGGTAGGTGAGGATACAACAGTTTCATTATAGTGAACCATCCTCATCACTGTCAAGTTGAAGAAACCAAAACCCAAAGCTAAGTGGCTATTTTCTCTGAAAGTTAGTGCTGTTAGGCAATAGTCATCAGGAGGTCAATGGTCCTTACATCACAGGTCTCTCTAAATCTGTAGCTCTTAGCAAATCATATTTGTTCATGTTTGTAAGGTAAAAGCTTTGGGTTTACCCATATCCACCATGGCTCATAAAAGGACTATSGTTTCATAGAAAATACATCAAGCAATTGCTACAATTATTCAGTGTTATTTTTTCAATTATAAAACTRGAAACAACATAATACTTCCAGAAGAAAATACCCATACAATTTCCAGTCATCTTCTCATAGCATTTAAAAACACAGCAAAAAYATGGCAAAACACCTTACAGTCAACCCTGCCACAGGATCACCATATTAAGATCTCTTTAAATGGAAAAAGTTTCCAGCAGCCTTACAATCCCTATGTCAAATTAKGAGAAACTGTACCAAACAACTTTTCACTAGCAACAGAAATTAAGTTGAAGTACAYGTAAATTAACACGAGCCAATTCTGACAACTGTAAAAGTACTACTTCAGAAACATTTTCAAAAGCCCAGACACTCTTCCCTGCCATGCAGATTTTTTGAAAAACATTCTCAGCACTGTGATACCATTTAGTATAAATTACTATTTCAAGATGTTTTAGAGATAACTCCAGTTCCAGCCGTTAAACTTTTTATATTATGTGGTTTCTAATCTGTGAAACAGGAAGAGGGGAAGAAGCACTAATTCCCACAAACCAAACTTCTCTGTTTGCAGTAGCAAATAGGCAGTTGAATAAAATTTTCAGAATCAGAAACTACGCAATCCAACTACTTTAAGAAAATGCTTTTTCTAACATACACTGGGGAATGAATAATCATACCCTGAACTCTTTCAGTTATGATGTCAAAATTATGCTAAGAACTGCCACTCACCATGTTTCAACATTGTACTTTTCTGGTGGAACGCATGAAACAGAAGAAAGCAATTTTACTTATATTTTCTGCTGCAGAGACCTAGACAGAGCTGACACTCCATCCTGGTTTCAGCTGGGTGAGTTTGTTTTCTTAGTAGCTGGTAAAGTGCTGTGGTTTGGCTTCAGTGTGAGAATAGTGTGATAACACTTYAATGTTGGGCTAAGCACTACTTAGCAACAACCAAAAGTCAAGATYTTTCAGTGTCATGCTCTGCCAGTGAGGAGGGGCACAAGAAGCCATGAGGRAGCAAGGCCAGGCCAGCTGACACTAACTGGCTAAGGGGACATTCTATACTAGCATGTCATGCCCAGTATATAAAGTAGGGAAGCTGGGTAGGAGGTATGGACCATTGCTCAAGGTGGACATATCAGCAGGTGATGAACAATTGTATTGCGAATCATCAATTGCCTATCTTGGGGTTTCTCTTTGCTGTCTTCCTTTACAGTACAATTATTATGTTTAATTTCAGTTCTGGTCTTATTTCAACCCCTTGCTTTTACCTTTCTTCCTGTTCTCCTCTCCATGCTTCCAGGGCAGGTAKGATGTGGTACTTAGTTACTGACTGGGGTTAAACCTCGAGACAGACAAGAGTTTAAGTCTCCAATTTTTTTTTTTTTTTTTCAAAACTCTAGATCTGCAATACTCTTCACTCTGAAAGAAACCAATGTAAGCATAGGGTTTTTTTTTTTTTTTTTTTCAAAACTCTAGATCTGCAATACTCTTCACTCTGAAAGAAACCAATGTAAGCATAGGGCAAATCGTTTTCTATTTTGTAAAGCTACAATGAAGCACATAGATTTAACGATAGCTCTATATTCTTTAATAATCTTAAGATGATTTAAAAATACCTTTACTTTTCAATCAACTTACCACTAAAAGGCCTAAGCATTTGTCTTATTACAGTCGATCTCTTTCTACTTTCTTTCCATGTTAAAAAAAATTGAACTTCATTTTGGTACAGATATTAATCACTGTTCACCTTCAACTATAAAACTAGTACTATTGTTGCTGAGAGAGTGCTCCTTCAGTTATGGAGAACTCCAGTTTCAGGGGAAAATATAGTGTTTATTGGTCTGGTGAGAAGCCTGAAGTATAGCTCAAGGGGTAAGAGCACACATCAGCACTTCAAATATTTAAACAGCAAAGCTGGCCTAGCACCAGGGCCTTCACTGAACTTCACTTACCACTGTTCATTAACGAGAATTGAAAGTGACATTAATTTCAAAGGGGGGGAAAAAGAAAAAAAAAAGCTTTTTTCAGCCCCTCCAAATCCTACCCTCTCTACATTAACATACCCACTACTTYATCTATTTTACAGCCCACATATCAATCATGTTTCAAATTTTTTTTTAAATGGCCATAGGTCATAATTGCCAAGTAGTATTCAAGTGAAAATCTCAGGAAATTCCCAAGAAAACTGCTGGAAAGGCTCTCTATACTTCTCCTGTTCCTTATACTGGTCATCCTCAGACAGAATACTGAACGAGGCAGACTTTGTCCCACTCAATACAGCCATTCTTCTGAGCATCAAACACCACTTTGTCCTCTGTAGCCCGCAGGAAGTTTGAGACAATGGCAGAGAAGTACTGTCTTCATAGCCCTGATAGCTCAACTGGACTATCAACTAAAAAGCCACATAATGTTTGAAGGAAAACAGAATTCATCATTTTAATTGTACTTTTCCAGTTTATTTCCTCTGAGGGAAAGACAAGGGCAGACAAGCAAAAATGCTTGTAATACCGGTTGTAACACCAAAAAGGAGAGAACGCAAACCATCAGACATACATTTACATAGCATATAAAGCTTCCATATGTACTTCACTCATCTGAAGTGAATTTATCTGTTAAATTCATTCATACTCCAGATTTAACTCCAACTTTGTCCTCTGGGACAAAGGGAGGGGGTATGAAAGAAAGCTATTAAGCTTATGGCTGAACAATATTCAGTGTAAAGAATACCTTTCCTTTGGCAAAGTTGAACRTTTGTTCACTCTGCTGTGTCCATGATTGAATGTTCTATGTGATGCTTGCCTTTACCAAGGCATTTAATTTCAATGCTCATTTTTACTGGCAAAACTTTGTATTGCAAATTTATAGTTAAGAGCTTTGTATTGCAAATTTATAGTTAAGAGCTTTCCTGCACTAGATGGCAGAACCCCAGCAATGGCCCACAACAGAACTGCAGCCACAGCCACACACTATGGAGGATGGCAGCCTGACAGCACAGCTTACACTGAAATTCCTGTTCACTGGGATCTGATACTTCAAGCAGGTGYCACACCAGCACTGGCACTCACATAGCAGTGCTGTGGCAAGATAATCACTGCTAGCTGTTTCACTCACTTGCAAGTCTTTATTATAGATCACAGCCTTCCCCAGTAGGACAAGTTCTTCAGCAAGACAGAACTTCCCACCTTGACAAGGACCTCATTACTTCAATAGTCGCAAAGCATTTAAGCAGAACTGCTCTCAGATCTTCCTTGTGGTTGCAAGGTACTCTTGCCTATAAGCCCAACTCGTTTAATTACAAAGTCTCTGCTGTTCTTGCAGTTACTAGCACTGATATATATGGCAACATTCCAGAAGTTTGTCTAACCACCAATTTCTTGGACCACAGTCCAGCAGCCATGTGAAACTTCTATCTCACCACTAATGATGGCTAGTGCAAGATTACACTGGACTAAAGCACAAAAGCAGGAAAATGCTTTCATGCTGTTTACTGCACARTCTTAACACTTTAACAGTGTTTTCGTGAATCTGAAGTTTAATGAAACACAGTTGCTGAGAAATCTGTTGCCACGTGTTCCAACTGTGTCACACAGTGACTCTTCGTAACTCTGTATCTTACCTCAATTGCTTGCAATTATCACCAAAAAAAGGCACCAGAATTAAATCTACGAATGGCTGGAAAACAAATTAACCCCCTCCCACRAGACAGAAAAGCCAGTTTCTATCTTAAAATTAGATGCAAAAATGACCTTCCTACATAATTTTCACTCATAAACCATAATCCCTAAAATACATAATGGTTAAAACATTTGTTCAGTTTGGAAAATGTTAAGACTCCCTATACTAATGCATATTTTTCACTAGCTACCAATTTTCTGCAGCTCTAAAGTACAGGATCATTCCTAGAGAAAGTTCTGCAGCTCCATATTTAAAATGCCTTACTACCAGCCACATTTACATTTTTATATGTGGAGGCCAATTTTCTTCATGGTTAACCACCACACATTTAGACCTCCCACCACATATGCAGTGTCTTTGTTCCCTGGCACCCTTTATCTAATGCTGCTAATCCTATATCCTAAAGTCCCCAATGAATGTTTTAGAACATACAGAACAAGATCGTCATGGAGTACTTAGGGTACCTGAAGTGCTACCCACAATCCTGAAATTTTAGTATTCTATTTCTTTGCAAACATCACAAGATACTCACTTTCACCTGTGCATATATACATGGCACTCTCTAAAGGCTGTCACATTTCATATTAGCATTGGCTCAAAGGATAAATTCAAAACACATGCCACTCCTTAAACTCTATAATGAAGTCATATATAGACTCCTTTGAATCCCCAATGAAATACTTACCAAATACTGCTGCTCTGTCAACCTTTTCTCTGGTCGGATATACTTTTCACATTCAGAAGAGACAGACAACTTTTGGACTTACCATCCAAGCAGCTCCACTAGATGCTGTCAACAGCASCCTACTTTCTGCAGAACTGCAGTGGCAGATGATTGAGACTCGTCTTCCCTTCCCACTTCTTGAGTACAGTATCAAGTTTTTGTCCCGGAGTCACTCAAGCACAGCATGGAGCATCCTGTGCCCAGTACATGCTGCACCGGTCAGCACAACAAGGTCACATTACCTCCACAGCTTGAGAACTACAAGCAGGCAAGAACACTGTGGTGTGATACACACCTGATGTGCAACAGCCATGATTTCAACGTTCTCATCTTTATTCAAAAGTACATACARAACATGGCACATGGAAATACATACCATTCTCAGTAACATTTGTTAACAGAAATAAATCCTATTTTGTACTTCTTGATGCTGCTTTGACAGAAAAAGGTCTTTAAATTTTTAGTTATGCTATTCTCATGTTCCTGCWTTTATAGAGAATTCATGATAATTAGGGTTGACAGTCATACTTCAAGGCCAATTTCATCTYATGTACACCTTGAGTCATCTTTAAATTTACTTGGTGACCAATTTATCGTCCTATTATTTATTTGTCTGTGGAAGTGACAGTTCACTGAATACAGCAAATATGCTGCTACTGTGATACAGTACCCACACTTTTCAAGTGACTGTTCAAAGCCCAAGTTGCAATGCACRTAACTTTTCCCACTACCAACCTCTTTTCCCCACAGAGCAAGCCAGTGTATTTAGCAAAGGGCAATTCCACTGTTGTGGTACTGGCCTTCTGCCAAAGGGGCAGCCCAAGAAACTCCAACTCCTCACTCCATCACAGATCCAGCGATGCAAGCTATACACACTGTCTTTTTCTTTGCTTTCACCCTATCTTTACTGGACCTGCCTGTGAACTCCAGTCTTAAGTWATCACAGATCTTCAGTATCTGCGAGACTGTGTAGAAATCTAGTATTTTCAAAAGGCAAATAATCACAGGCTTTTTAATGTACTGACACCCAACACTTATTTCCCTAATATTACTGCTACACTTCTAGAGAGGACAGTTCAGTATTTTGGAAAGACCGTATTTCAAATATGCAAGACAGTAATTTTGGTCTACATGCTGTTTCTGAAAACAGTATCTACTGAACAAAATTGCAGGCTTTAAAAATCATGGCATTCCACTCCAAGCTACAATATCTCTTCAGGTGTTATACTTCCTTCTGGTTACATCATCCACATTTGTCAGACAGCTCTGACTGTTTGAAATTCATCCCTGGAAAAGGAGAAAAAAATTTAAGTAAAATGATTCATTCAAGGGAGAAATTTCAATTTGCAAGTAAGCACACAACTGTTTCCATAAAGATGTTGCTACTTAAAAAAAAAAAAAAAAAAAACCAAGCAAAAAAAGAAACCCAGTTTAATACTTTCCAGGAAGTTTACATCAAATATTTGGTCTCGTCTCAGATTCCGGATCCGTATTAAGTTTTTCAACAAGAAATTCAGGTTCGGGATAGGATCATCACAGATGAGACAAAAGCAGAAGAGAAACCAAAAATGTAGGAAACACTTTRTGGGGTTTCTGATTAATTTTTGCATTCCAATCTCTAATACTTTGTCCTATTTCAATAATAATGTACACTTATTTAAAAYCTTTCACATATGTTTGAAAGCTAACCAAGATTAGGTACAGTTATCAGCACACCCTGTGCCTTGGGAACAACGTTTTTAAAAGGCCATCCATGATTTACCTTATCAGTTGATCAATTAAGTACATTCATAACTAATGAAAAAAAGTGACCTGCAAGCACAGGTACTTTAGACCTAGAACAAGAAAATGCTTAGAAGCTTTTCAGTTACATACCTGAATAAGCCACAAACATTTGTTTCTCCATTTTCTGAGTAAGAAACATTTTCCTGTAAAAGAAATTTTTTTTAGTTCCGAGAAGTTTTCTTCCATCACTCAAAAAATACAACTTGCCATCTATTTAGCCTCTTGTACAGACCAAACTGCATTATTCAGTATGTGTTGCAGAATGAGAAGCAGTCATGTCACAGTAAGATTTGTTCTGCTTCTCTTGCCCAGCTATTGATCAACCTGCAGAAGAACTATGATAGGAGGGGGGAATTACACCTGATTATCAGGATTAAAAAATATTGTTTATAGGAATTCATACCCTCTATTCACAAGCAGCATTCAAGCATCTCTGCAAAGAGATGCAATGCACTGGTTAGTACCGCTAACAAAGTGTGCGACTTGCAACTTTTYTCTAGTTCAGCCACATGAGTCATGCCCTCTCCTACTTGCAGTAGTAGGAGTCTAAACAATACAAGGAGTAGTAGTGTCTAAACAATATGGCATTTCACAGGCAGCCCAGCAGCACAAGTAGTTTCACTCATACATTTGAACTTCACATACTGGGACTAAACATGTTGTTAAAAATTCAAGTGCTGGTAGCACAGTATTTAAAGCTACCTTTCTTGAATAAGGAGAGAAATAAAGTTATAGGTGTATAGTAACATAGGAAAATGAGAAGTTCTCACACTGTAGAATTTAACCTTCTGACTAAAGCCATCCTGTGGATATACTCAAGCACCAGTGCAATTAAATGAATATCACTGAAAAATATTAAATTCAGAAACTTAGGTGGGAATTAACTTCTTGGGAGAAMACACTGCTAATATTCTTGATGCACAGTAAGCATTCAAGAGCATTCTTTATACCTGCTTCAAGTATGTTATACCAGCATTTGTAAAGTAGGTTATCTCTAGAGCTGAAACAGCTTTACTTAGAATTCACTACAATTTACCATAAAATTCGACTTTTGACATTAACATGACTTTTGCTAAATGGTCACATATGAGTGGGCCCTAAATTAACTGTCCTARGAGGACCAAAATGCAAACATCATCACTAGCTTTTAAACACCAGCAACACTGATCGTAACCAGCTAGTACTTGTTATTTACCCACTTTAAGGCAGAATACCTCAAGTTAAACACATCCCCCTCCCTGCTCKTCAAAGTACATACTTGTGCCAACACAGACCTGAGGTGGGTTTAAATAACGAACCAACATTCACAGCCTGGTGCATGCTGGCACCTAACTTGAACACAGCGACAGCATTAAACCAACATCAACTGGGATGATTTATGACTGGAAGTTTAAGTGGTTTCATCTCAGCAGCCAGACCTGTACAAAGTTTCTCACAAATGCATCAAGTTTGGCAGTTTCAGCATGATTCACCGCTATTCACAAATATCAGTGACTGGGAACTGTAATGCCACTCAGACATTCATACATTCCACATAATAAGCTTGACATCTTTTATTAGCAATGTACTAAAAAGGGAATACACTACAATCAACAAAAAACTTGTTYAATCAATAAATACTACCTCTGTTGTATTTTCTCCTGCGAGGACATTTTTCTTCAGGACATTCCCATTCTAGAAACTGTTCATTCCACTCTAGGAATAAAGCTTTTAGGAAAATCCACTCGTGTGTACCAAGCGTTCTTCTACTTGTGATTGTCCTTCCATGAAGGCCTAAAATTAAACAAAAATGATCTTTTAAGCTAGAAAGCATCACTTGCTGTAGTCTAGCATAATCTCTCATGTTAGCRTGTCAGAAACATAATTACCAAGCACCAAAACCTGACATTCTCATATAACCATTTAAAATTCTTCCGGAATAGCCTACAACACCTGACAAGGTTAAACTTTGCAAGCAAAAGAAATCCAACTACAAAGTGACCTACAGGCTGACTTTAACGACAAACCCAAAAAATGTCAGTTATGAAAATGCAATGTAGTTTTCCCATTTTRTCCCACCCACTTAGTAGCCATACAAAGATGACAACTCTCTGGCACTTCCCATACTTTTGACAAAAATACAGAAATCAAATGATGAAACAGAAGTACTTATTGACTTAGTCAAAATCAGAAATGTAGTGTTACTTCTGGAGCAAGATTAAAAATTCCAGAGCTGTTACCTTTATGCACAATGTTCTCGACAGCACTGAAAATCTCTCCATCACACCTAAAAACAAATATGGACAGTCTTAAAACCTGAAACCAGTAGATTGGTATTACCAGGCCAGGGAGTCACACATATCATGAGGCAATAATCATAAACACAATCTCTACAAGCAGCATGTTAAGCACTAAATCACAAGCATTCGGAAAAGCAGCAAGAATTGCAATTTTAAGCAACATAGGAGTTGCAAGTTACACCCACTTGAAATCCTGTATTGAAAGCATTATAGAAATAACTGCAAGTACCCACTGTTAAACTGTTAAACCTCAGTCTAAAGCTTTCTTTAAATGAAAAATCATCATCTCAAGGTTTGTAAGAACTGCTTTAAGTTCGTTTAGAGAATTGTTTTAACCATATAGCAATTTTTAAAATCCACCAAGTGAAGCAGCTTAAGAAATGCATGACGAAGTATGTTTTGTCATATACATTACTCGAATGCGCTTATTTGAAGTGTATCCCTGTACTATAGATCAAATAAACTCATCAAGCCATGAAATGTAACTTATCACACATTTTGCTTCAGATCACAAATTTAAGATATGGAAACCCTAAATTTAAACTTCTACTTACTGCATGTAATAAATTTTACATTTATTGAGTATGATAAACTCAATCATCAGGGGTTACTAATGGTTTAGATTTCAAAAATTTTACTGTTCAGTAATCTAATGTGTGACTCGGACTACTAGACAGGCTAATTCAACACACAATAAATGCACCTGACAACTTCCTACAGAACCCAGCCATATTCTAATCCTTGCTTGCAGGGAAGAAACTGGAATTCTAGATATATTTTTAATGGTATTTCCCACCCTTTCAGAATACTAGTCTCAGTGACGTATTTCATAAAGGGGGCAAAAAGGCATGTTAAGGCCACATGAAGCTTCCAGAGGAGGTGCTGTGGGGTTTTTTGGGTGGTTAATTTTTGTAACAAGTCTCCCTTTGTTCTGCTGTGTCACTGTCTTAAAGAAAAAAAGGAAACATCATTAGTTAGAATGTTAATCTTATGATTTACAYTAAAAATCATCAAAATGTGCGTGTTTATTTCTTGGGACGCTAAGTGGATTTTACAGTTCTTTGATAGGTCTTCTGTTGTTGAGCAATGCCGATGGCTGAGCTCACCAAAATATGTACAGGTAACAYAAGCGTGTGCACCAATTCTCTGCCACATATACAAGGTGGCTCTGCGTTATTTAACATGTTACGCACGAACCCMGACGACTGAAGGCTGCCCCAGCCAAAGCCGAGAGCAGAGAGGGRCAGCACCCCTTCACCAGCGACGGGCGGGGATCAAAATGGCGCGGGCCCTCCAGCGCCACGCGGGCCACCACTGCCTACCAATCCCAGCATGCCCCGCGCCCTTGAATGCAGCTTCCGGCAGGGACCCTCCCGCAAGGCATGCTGGGGTATGTAGTTGGCATCTCCGTCCCCTCGCACCGCCACGGCTGCCAGCAGGGCGCTGTGCACGAGCGGCCGCGGCCACAGCTCGCTGCCTTACGCCTGGCCCCACCCGCGGCTCCAAGAGTGCGAGCTTCCCTCGCCAACTCCAGCCTCGAGCACTACCCGAGCGGCGCCCCGGCCGACCCTCCCGAGCGTTCAAGGACAAGGACGAATCCGSAGTGCCCCCCGCCCTCCCAGCGTCCCTGGGGCAGCGGCACACACCGCATCCCCCGCACCCTTACCCCACAGCAGCAYCGCCAGCACTCCGCAGGGAAAGAGGAGGCGTGGCGGCGCTCGCCAGCTTTATATCTACGCTGCGGGGTGGGAACGAGGCTGGCCCCGCCCCCTCCGCGCGGGGAGAGGCGGAGACCCCGTGCGGAGCAGGCGCAGTAGCGCGCTTGGCTCGCGGGGCGTGCGGAGGGGCGGGCGCGCAGGCGCTGAGGCGATGGCCGCCATGGCCGCGGGGTACGGGCACCGCCCCGGCCCCGCCCTGCCCGCGCTCCCACCTGCCCGGGGATGGTGCGTGCTTCGGCGGGAGGGGAGCAGCAGGRCCTGTCGGCCAGCTGTCGGTCATGGTGCTGTTTGTACCGTTTCCCTTATAGGTTTCCTGTGTAAAACGCAGAGTGGTCTTAGGTGAGTTTTTAAAGTGAGGGCAGGAACCGACTGGTGCAGCTCCTCCACCTCCCAAACTTWAAGAATATGATTCCCGAAGAATCATTAAGGTTGGAAAAGACCTCTGAGGTCATCGAGTCCAGCCTATGACTGAACACCACCACGCCAAATAGACCACGGCAGTAAGTGCCACGTCCAGTCTTAAACGGGATGGTGGCTCCACCATCTTCCAGAGGCAGCCCATTCCAATGTCTAATCACCGTTTCTGTGAAGAAATTCCTCCTAATGTCCAGCTTAAATCTCCCCTGATGCAGCTTATGACTGTGTCCCTTTGTCCTGTTGCTGGTTGTGTGGGTGAAGAGGCTGACTCCCATCTGTTACACCCACCTTTCAGCGAGCTGGAGAGAGTGAAAAGCTCACTTCTGATCTTCCTTTCCTCCTGGCTAAGCAACCCCAACTCTCTCAATTACTCACCACGGGACTTGTGCTCCAGACCCTTCACCAGTTCCATTGCCCTTCTCTGAATGCACTCCAGCACCTCAATGTCCTTCTTGTAGTGAGGGGCCCAGAACTGGACACAGAGCTCAAGGTGCAGCCTCACCAGTGCAGAGCACAGAGGGACAGTCCCTGYCCTGCTCCTGCTGGCCACACTATGGCTGATACAGACCAGGATGCCATTGGCCTTCTTGGCCACCTGGGCACACGCTGCCTCATGTTCAGACACCAACACCTCCAGGTCCTTTTCCACCAGGCAGCTTTCCAGCCTCTGCCCCCAGATTGAGTACTTGTATCTATCTTCTTATTGAGTACTTGTATCTATCTTCTTTTCCTGTTCCATGGGGTTCCCAGCTGGTTAACCTTGTGAAACTATGCCTTCATGCCTCAACTTTCCTTCGCCTCTTGTTAGACGTTTCTGAAACTATAAAAACAGGCGCACCTGTTTCTACTTTTTAGAAGTAGCATGTGATGCTATATCCCTGCATTACAAGTKGTAAGAGCTGTACAAAAATCTCATTTCCACAGCTGGCAAAAATTAGAGCTTTCTGGAGCTTTTTACTCTATGCCAATAGTCTAAGGATACTGTTCCACAGTGAACCTACTAGTGGATTTTAGGAAGAACTTCTGTACTGTGAAGGTGGTGAAGCACTGGAGCAGGTTGCCCAGAGAAGCTGTGGATGCCCCATCCTTGRAAGTGTTCAAGGCCAGGTTGGGTKGGGCTCTGAGCAACCTGGTCCGGTGTAGGCTGCCTCTGCCTGTGGCAGTGGGGGTTTCAGCTGGGTTATCTTTAATGTTCCTTCCAGCCCAAAACATTTTATGATTCTCCCTGTTCCACCTCCTCTTTAGCCACTGGAAATTGTACAGCTGCACCTCAGATAGTGACTTGGTCTCCGTCTGAATCTGCCTCCTATACTGCTGTGGAAGTGTCAGTGAAAGACTTAGTCAAAGGTACTTGGGCGACAGTGGGGATAGCAGGAGCATTACAGCCTACATGATTTTTAAACTAATGGGAAACCACATGCTAAATTCTCATTTATGGAGGTTCTCACTAATTGTTTATAAATTTTTTTTTGTCTGCCTGTTTATTGAGGGGTTTAGTATATCAATAAACTTAATTGAGGAAATAAGGTAAAAACAAGGATGGATGAAGAAAAACTGAAAAAAATGTTTGGTGTTCTGAGAAGTTATTAACAATATGACAGAAAAATGATGTTCCACAAGATGGTCTCTTATTAGGAGGGTTTAACTGTTGAAAACAGATAAGGGAAATCTAGAAAAGTCAGTTGTAAAATGCTAAAATATCTGCCAGTTTTATTCCTAAAATTATTGAGATTAATACTACCAGGAAAACTAATCATCTGACAAATTTTAAACAAGTTTTTTTTCTGCACTCCATAGCAGAGGATTRTAATTTTCTCTCTGTTTTCCTTCTTATACATCCCATTTTATCTGTCTGAAATCTTAAGTGCAAGCTTCAGTTGGCCCCTTTTCAGYTGTAGAGGCATAAGGAAAAGGGTCTACTTTTTTTCTGCCTTTTTCTCTGAGTGCCTCCCACTGGCAACTGKTTCAGCTGCTGTTTCTGCAGGAGGGTGAGAAGCTGTAAGCATCCACGAGAGAGTCTCTAGTGATTCAGGGAGCGGTCAGCGTTCAAACAAGCAGTTTATATTGTTTTTGTCTTTCCGTCTGACTTATTCAAAAGGCCACAAAACTGATGTTTGCCACTTGGCACTGAAAATGTTGATCTACCTTTCCTTAGTAACATCAGGGTTAAAGATAAGCAAAGTAATCACAGCCATTAATCACTACTCAATTAGCCCTAATGAAAAAAGGCAGCTCCTCACCATTCCTTTCCTACGTTCTAAATAATTCCATATTTCTAATGGTGCCCGTTGAGTGATTTTATTGCATGTTATTCTCTCAAAGACTGGAATTTCTTTTTTAGGGAAAAAAGACTCACCATTAAGCCCAAAGTACATTACACAAAGCATGAATGAGTACYTTTTCAGCTTGCATTTGATAATAAGGTGGCTATAAATACTGAGATGAGTAAGGGCTGTCCAGGGTTTCAGGGTGCTTTTCTGTAGTGTGRTCTTTGCAGGTGAAACATGGGTGAGCATCCTCTGTGGAGAGCCTCGCACCGTGCACTGCTACTGGACCCTGGCTTTTGGAACCTGGCAGAGGAAACTCCTCATCTCTCTGTTAGATTGGAGGGTACAGGTTTATTAGCAGTGCCTGAATGCATRTTGTATGCAAACCTTTCATCCCTGAAGAAATGGGTCTCGTGTTTCCCAGCATCACCCAAGGCTGCTAGCACTGGAGGAGCTTGTGGGCCTAGTGAAGCATGTCTTTACATAGGCAACAATTACAAGTCTGAAAAAAGTTAAGGAAACCAAAGTAAAAATGTACACCACAAACACAGATTATTTTTCAAAGTAAGATTCCTTCTTTTGTCTTTCTTTCCCCTCCCTCAGGCTTCCACATATTTAACTTACCTCCCAGGTGTCTGGATGAGGATGCAAGCTGTAGTGCAAGACCTGATCCTCTATTGCCATTTCCCAGAGAGATCCTAAAGCTGGTCTGAACAATCAGCCTGGTTACCATAAAGTGTTAGTTTATAGATGAGTTGCTTCTGAATTTAGAAGCATGTGGCTTCACATTCATGCACAGGGTCAGCACTGGCAGAAGAGAGTGCTGGTTATGAGATAATGGGATGTACTGGATTAACTCTTGTGTTGGCCCACACAAATATATGTCAGCCTGAAAGTCTGGTGTTGTGGCTACCTCCATTGCTTTTCAGGTCTAGGCAACTCGCTCAAARTTCTCTTTTCTTGTCTTAAATTCTTTCTTTTTTGTTCTTTCYCTATTTCTATCTCCCCCCACTTCCTTTCTGTTCCTATTTTAGGTCTGGCTTCCTGGATTTGCTCCAGTAACATTGTAGCTTTGATGACTCACGTCTCTTGGTTTAGT